ATAGGAAGCGAATTTCTCTGTGCGACATTGATTATGCAACACTAAAGCCATTTCAAAAGATTCCCATGCAATTTGAGTAGATTCCCAAATGCTCAGAGAGCCTTGGCTTGTGAAAAGGTGGGAACAGGGATCCCTAAACCATAGCTGGATCCCCAAGGGAGAAGGCTACATGTGCCCCCTGGGACCATGGGTATGATGTGCCCAGCAAGGCCCTTAATTTCCCCCTGCAGACCTCAGCTGACTTCCAGGTATGTTCCAGGAGCCTCTACCTGCCCCTGCCCTAGGGTGTGAAAACTGGTTTCAGAGAGAGACCGACCAGTGTCCTACCCCATGTGTGCACCCCAAGCCTCAGTCCCCTCTAGTACTGCACCACCCCATAGACTGTGGTGAAAGTATGGAAATGTAAATAATGTGCATATGGCTGCATCTGGCCAGAGCAGCCTCTGTTGGCAGGAGGGGGACAGGGACCCCTTTGCAGGTGCTGACTGGCACAGTGGGGCTGAGACACCCTTGCTGGCACAGGCGAGCTGGGAGTAAGCAGTGGAAGCTATCAAGTGGCAGTTCTCTGGTGTTTCTAAGGGAGTTAGGACCGTCGTATGGACTGGACGAGGCGGTATGGGTGAATGCACTTTATAAACTGTGAAGTGCTGGTGAATGGGAGGTGATGGTGGCATTACTACAAATTCATTCAAAAGAATTGTTCTTTGACCTCCCCTTTCCCCACCTGCTTTATTCCAGGCCCTGTGCTGAGCACCAGGAATACAGTGGTGAATGGCACAGAACATTCTCTGCCCTCAGAGCTCTAACGTGTGTCAAAAATTTTATAAATTCCGGTGCAGTCACTGTGTTCTGAATGCCATTTCTACTAATGGCTAGCATTGTTTGGGGGTAGGCCATGGATCAGCATTTCTATGCACTTCCCATGGCGTGGTGGGGAGGACGCTTGGCAGGTACTTTAAAGCTGAGCCCTGGCACCTCTCTGCAGCATCAGGGGCCCCTGTCACTGGGATTGGTCTGTAGGAGCCCAACTCAGAGGCTCCCATTCCTTAATACCCGTCCTTAGGACAAGCCAGCCCTGAGTCACTCACAAGCAGTCTCAGGCCCAGCCTGGGGCTTCCAAAATTCACTGGGAGTTTGATTTTTAAGGCCTGGGGGAATTTGCTCCCAGAACTGGTGTCTTAAGAAGTGACCAGCCTTCTGGAAGTGTTTCCCAGCCCTGTAAGAGCTGTATGTGTACTCCTTGCCCAGAAGTCTCTGCTTCATGGTCAACTTCCTTTTATGTTCTGGTTCCTCACCTCCTCTTCCGTTTTTCTTCTTAAGAGCCCATGAATTCTCTGTAAATTCAAAAGTGCTTTTCCTTTTCAAGACAACAGCAGTGGAAGCCTCAGAAGGGACAGGGTGACATATATATGTCTATGTTTTGGCCAGTTATAAGGTAATAACTACTAGTCTCAGAAAGCTTGGGATATATTATCAAAAGCAGAACCTGTTTGTTGTGTGTCTTTTGGCTGAGCTACACAAAAGTTAGTGAAATTGTTTGGCCTCGAAGGTCTCAAATAGCATCATTCAGAACTGAGCCGCCCCACAGACATGAACTCCCAATCAAAATTCACTAAACACAGGAGGAAACAAACAGAACTAAAAGTTAACAGAAGCCACGATCTGCAGAATCAAGCTACTAGGACCAAATTAATGGAATTTTCAGGTGTTAAATATAAAAATGAATACCAAGCAGGAGTAATAAAAAGATAGCCACATTGCAACACATTATATTGCTTTTTGCACAAATTGCAGAACACCAAAGAGAGAGAGAGAGGACACTGAATGCACCCAGATACTAAAGACAGATTCCTACAAAGCACCAACAGTTCAACTGACAGCTTACCTCTCAACAGCAATAATGAAAGACAGAAAACATGGAATAATATATAGGCTATAGTGGAAATATGTCTTAGAAGTGCTGAGAGAAAATAATTGTCAGGGGAAAATTAAGGACATTTTCTAACAAATCAAACTGACTACTACCAACTGACCTTCACTAAAGAGAGTATTAAAGATTATACTTCAGGAACAAAGAAAATGATCCTAAAAGGAAAGTCTGAGATGCAAGAATATCCTTATGACTCAGGGTAGGGAGGGATTTCTTAAACTTGAAAAAAGGCATAGTCTATAAAGGAGAGGGTTGACATAATCAACTGCCTTAAAATTAAGGACTTAGTTCATCAAAAGACACCATAAAATATGTGAGACATGTGTTAGCATGTCTGCAATGTTTATAACAGCCAATAAAACCCACACTATCAGAAAGAATTCTTATGAATCAATAAGAAAAAGACAAATATATTAAAAAATCTGTAACCAATAAAAACAATCAAAATCTCACAGAAGAGGAAATATTAATGACTAACAATTACAAATAAGCTTTATCTCATTAGTAATCATGAAAATTAAAACTAAAATCTAATGAGATACATAGAAAACCCCAAGAATCTACCAACAACAACAACAACAACAACAACAACAACAACAACAACAAAAACCCTCCTTGAACTAAAAAGTACATTTAGCAAGTTGCAGGATACAATGTCAATACATAAAAAATAAATTATATTGGGAAATGGAATTTTTTAAAAGTAATAGTATATACAACAGCTGCCCCCAAATAAAATAATTAGAAATAAATATAATAAAATGTGTACACCCACTGTACACATTGATAAAACATTAATAAAAAGATGTCAATAACACCTTAATAATTGGAGAGACATACCATGTTCATGGATTAGAAGACTCGACACAATAAGGATGTCAGTTCTGCTCAAGTTCCAGTGTGTGTATATATTTATACACACACACACATACTGTAAATGTTAATATTTATAAACTGATTCTAAAATGTATGTGGAAAGGCAACAGAACTTGGAAAGGGGATGAGTTGTCTCCTGAGATGGGCAGAAATGTGAGTCACCTGAACTGACAACTCTTTTGATTACCATAAATTTATAGAAAGTTTTAAAATATGGTAGTATAATTCCTCCAAACCACAAAGTTAGAGTTATCCTTGGATCCCCCTTCCCCATCATCCCAAATCTTCAGTGGTTTCACAGTCCAATAAGCTCTTCTTCTTTTTCAAAATTATTTTATTGCTTTATAAAAGATAAAGCCCTGTGTATCCACTATGAAATAGAAATAGAACATAATCATTATCTTTGGGGGCCTCTGTATACCCATTCCCAATCCTATAACTCTCCCTCAGGTGGGTCATTCTCTGCAGGGGCTGAAGAGGGGGGGTTCTGAACGAATTTGGGAGTGATGATAGGTTTGGATTGTGTACCTGTTGAATTTGAGGAGTTTGAGGGGCAGGCCCAGGACTGGGGTGAGGAAGTGAAGTGTATAGGGTGTGAAATCTAATGAGGCAATCACCCTAGAGGTTATGCAAGTGCAGGGTCAGCTCCTACAGAGGAACGTGCAGGTAGAGACATCCAGTGAACAGATGGATGTGTGGGGCTGAAAGCCACAGAGACAAATGGGCTACAGGCAGGTTCCTGAGATCGCCAGCCTGTGTGGTGCTTAAATGCACAAATTTAATGGGAGTGAGCAGAGGGAGAACCGAGGAGGGCTGCAATGACATCCTAAGGAGATCCCAGGAAGGAGAGGAACTCAGAAAGTCAGAGACTGATAACAAAACCACCCGGTGCTCATGCCAACCCTCTCCCTCCCAGCCTCTAACTGGACATGCCATTTACTGGACATGTAGATCCTTCCCTGAGCTCACCAACATGAGTGGAAGCCCAGCCTGAAAACAAAGACAAAGCCCACAGAGATGGACGGGGAAAAGGGTTGGCTTCTCCACTAAGAGGATAACAAATAGCTGGACAGAGTTGAGAAGTAGTTAAGCTGTAATCATATTGCCTGCTGGTAATTGATCCCTGAGCATCAGATAATATGACCTGGGATCTCCAGACCAAATGCTCGTGGGGCCACCAGGCAGGCACTGTCAGTGGGTAAGGGCAGCTGGGGGAAGGAGAGTGCTATTCCACGGTGTAAGTCAGCAACAGGGAACGTGCCATAGGATGGCATAAGGTTGGAGGGTGGGGTAGGGGATGTGGTCCACTGAGGACTCTAGGTCCTTTTTAAAGAGACAGTCACAACTCGTTCCAGCCTACTCTGGCCTGGGCAGGGTACACTGTGGCCAGGACCATGTATTTCTAAAGAAATGTCCCCAAACCGGATTTTTCATGTGAAATATCCTGTTTTAAATGTTGGCAACTTGGCTGGGCATGGTGGCTCATGCCTGTAATCCCAGTGCTTTAGGACAGTGATTCCCAACTTTTTTGACACCAGGCACCAGTGTCATGGAAGACAGTGTTTCATGGGGTGGGGGGAGGTAGAGCTCAGGTGGTGGTGTGAGTGATGAGAAGTGGCTATAAACGCAGGTGAAGCTTCGTTTGCTTGCCCACCACTCACCTCCTGCTGTGCAACCTGGTTCCTAAGTTTCATGGAAGACAATTTTTTCATGGGGTGGGAGGGGGGGAGGGGAGGCAGAGCTCTGCAGCCCAGTTTGTAACAGGACATGGGCAGGTACTGGTCTTGGGGACCTCAGCTTTAGGAGGCTGAGGCGGGAGGCTCACTTGAGGCCAGGAGTTTGAGACCAGCCTGGGCAACAGAGTGAGACCTCGTCCCTAAAAAAGAAAAAACAAAAATGTTGGCCACTTATTCAGAATTGTTTAAAACTGTACATACCGCCGACACTGCCAGCCTTGGCTGAGAGTCCCTCAGTTCACGACCTCTGTGTTAACCCCTTGCATTTTTCTAACAATAGGGCCTGGCTTTACTGTGACTCAGAGGGGCCAGCCTTCCATCCTCATTTCCCTCTTGGTCCACCCCTAAGTTCCCCTGAGCTTTTGTCCAGAGACAGAGAGAAGAGGAGACGCCCCACAGAGGGCGACATGCGCCACGCAAGCAAATGAAGCTGTTGCTTTTGTGCTTTTCTCCGACAGGTATTTGGCTTCTGGGTCTGGATCCTGGTGGCTGCCACCCAGGTCGCAAGCCCGCTGCTGCAAGGATGGGTGATGTATGTGTCGCTCACCTCCTTCCTCATCTCCCTGCTGCTCCTCTTGTCTTACCTGGTTGGATTTTATAAAAGATCCGAGTCCTGGAAAGTTCTGGTAAGAACCAGTGGGGTGGCTCCCCTAACTGGATGTCCTGGGTGGTGTGAGGGCAATGGGCCCTTCTTGGGCAGGAAGGGAGAACCAGAGAACAGAGATCGGGGACTGTTCCTCGGTGAGACCCACAGTTCCAAGACTTTGGATTTTAGAATGTTTATTGTTAAGCCCAAATGAAAACCTTTCTCTGCAACAGTAAATCCTTCCTTGTATTCCCCTCCGACGCCTTCATTGTCAGGAATACACATAATGCCCTTGTAATCAGCACATTCTGAAGTGTTTCCCCAAAATTTTATTCATGGCAAAATCATTGCAGCAATATTGAAGAAAATGCTAGTAAGGAAAAAAAAAATCACTCCAGTCTCAAGGTCCTGTCACAATCACTGTGATAGGCTCTTTCTTCTATATTCCACATGAATTTTATGCAAAGTGTATAAACATTTTAATCACACTGAACAAATAATTTTGGATGTAGATGCTTTCATTTATTGTGACATCATTAATTTTTTTATGCTGTCACATCATCTTGATAACCATTTTAAAGTTTTCTGTATTAAACAATTTAAAATATATACAAAAGTCCAGAATATCATAGTATAGACCCTCACATGTCCATAACCCAGACTCCAGCATTATCAAGATTTTATCACTCTCGCTTCATTCATCCTTTTTTTTCCCCACTGGGGAAGTTTAAAGCAAACCTCAGACATCATGTTATTCCATTGCACACACTTCAGTATGTTTCAAAAAAATATGCAAACTCTCTGCCATTATTACCACACCTATCCAGAGTTAATAATAATTCTCCAGTGCATCTGAGATGGTATATAGTAGACACTCCTTAATCTCAGGGAATTCATTCCAAGACCTCCAGTGGATGCCTCAAACTGCAAATAGTACCAAACACTAGATATACTACGTACAATTTTTTTTTCCTTTTTCACAATTTCACGGATCAAAGATTCCTTCTTACCATAGATCTTAGCAACCTCAACATACAGGTTTTTTTTTTCTTTCCTTAGTAAGTGGAGAACTTTCGCCTTCCCTTAAAGAAAGCACTGTATGGCTTCTCTGTGGCATATTCAAATTGCCAGCATCACTGCTTTTGCACTGTGGGAACATTACTAAGTCAAATAAGGGTGACTCAAGCCCAAGCACTTCTTTTTTTTTTTTTAATTTCAGCATATTACAGGAATACAAATGTTTAGGTTACATATATTGCCTTTGCCCCAATCCAGTCAGAGCTACAGGCATGTCCTTCCCCAGATGGTGCACACCGCCCCCATTAGCTGTGAATATCCCCTCCTCCCCACTCCCACCTGCCTGACACCCGATGCATGTCACTACTATATGTGCACTTAAATGTTGATCAGTAAAATACCAATTTGATAGTGAGCACATGTGGTGCTTGTTTTTCCATTCTTCGGATACTTCACTTAGTAGAATGGGCTCCAGCTCCATCCAGGATAACAGATCACCACTGTTGTTGTGGCTGAGTAGAACTCCATGGTACACATATACCACATATCATTAGTACCCATTAATACACGAGTGGAGCCCAAGCACTTCTACCCGCCACGGCTGATCTGATCCCGGAGAGGGTCACTAAGTGACTAATGGGTGGGGAGTGAGTACAGCTCCGATCTCTTAGACAAAGGGAGGAGTAACGTCCCAGGCAGGACAGGGCAGGGCAGTGAAGTATTTCATCACGCCACTCAGAATGTGTGCAATTTAAAACTTATGAATAGTTTATTTCTGGAATATTCCATTCAATATTTTGGACCCCTGCTGATCACAAGTAACGGAAACCGTGGAAAGTGACACAATTTCCCTGAGAGGCTCAAAAATGCAAGTCTGGAGTCAGACTGGCCTGACTGCACCAACTCCAGCCTGTGCTGGCCGAGCCTCGGTGCCCTAACCTGCAGACTGGGAGTAACAGCAGTAGCCGCCCTAAGAAATTAGCTGTGAGAATGAAGTGAGACGTGTGCCTTGTTAGGACGGTGCCTGGCACAGGGTAGGTCTTCATGACGTCAACAGCTGGGAGCACAGCATGGAGTTAATGGGGCCGGGGTTGAAGTCCTGGCTGAGCCATTTACCATTGCCCTTTACCCTGGGCTTCCACTACCTCCCCACGAGGCTGGTAATAAAGAGTGCCCACCTCCCAGCCGACAGGATAGAATGGGATCAATGAGAAAAGGGCGTGGGCAGAGCACGCCGCAGCACAAGCACTCAGTACATGTTAGCTGGTACTGATATTATTATTGCTATTTATGAATCTGCTGTTGTTTGCCACGTGGATATTTCATTACAAACATGCAGAAAACAGCAGGAGTTAGGGGGTTGGGCCTGTCTGTTGTTCTCAATCTTCCCAGCTGTGTAGCCACAGGGAAGTGGTCACCTGGGTGACGGTGGCCTCTGGTCTGCGTTTCCAGGACAGCCTGTACCACGGGACCACGGCCATCCTGTACATGAGCGCCGCCGTCTTACAAGCGAACGCCACGATCGTTTCTGAGTACCAGAACGTGAGCCACTACTACATCAACACGGCAGCCTCGGTGAGTGGGCTGGGACCCCGACAGCCGCCGTCACTGGAGGGCGTCCGCTGTATGAGGCTTCCTCCCGCCGGGTGTGCGCGGCAGGGACGGCCCCGCGCCTCACACTGAGGGAGCGTGGGGCTGAAGAAGTGCGTGTGTGTCCGTGTAGACACGTGTGCCCATGTCAGGGTCCCCTCCCGGCTTCTCCGCCCACCTCAGTCAGCCTCGCTCCCCCATACACCCGACACACTGTCTGCAGGACAATTTTTTTTCCAAAACATAAATTGGAACATGTTTCTCTCTCCTACTGAAAATCCTGTGATGGCTGTCACTGCCTGTGGCTGAACCGTTCCAGTGTCCTTTTAAGTCAGTGACAGAAGCCCCCCGGGGTGGTGTGGTGGCTGACAGACCCCAAGGCCAGGAGGTCCAGCAGCATGGAGGGGACCTCCCTGCACACCAGCCCTCCTCCCCTGTGGGGTGTGCCCTCTAGCGGCAGAGAGCACAGATTCTGCTCTGCAGAGGCCTGACCTCCCTCCGTCATCCTACCTTAAAAACTTCCTCTAACACCAAGGCTGAGTCCATGCCCACCCCCAGACCAGTCACTGTGGCCAGAAAATCCTTTGTCAACCTGGCGGCTCCTGCAGGGCTCACATGGCCACGGCAGGAGGAAGGGACGAATGTGGGGTGCTGTCCTGGAGTAAGAATGGAGTTCCAGGCAAGCACTGCGACCCTCTGGGGTGGCCACAAGATATTTCAGTTGCCTTCCAGCCTCCCTTCCCTCCTCATCAAGCTAGTTTAGCTTCCTGAACTCACAACTCCAGAAACAGCCCACAGACCCTCCATGGCCCAGCCCGTCCCCAGCGTGGCCCCTGGCCAGCCGCCCCAGCCACACTGGCCTCCTTGCTGCCCCAGCACACAGGCCCACTGTCACCTGGGGCCTTCCCTGGTACCCACCCTCACCCCATTCCCTGTTCCCTGTTACTGCCTCATTTTCCCCTGGTGCTTATTCCCCCCAACCTACTACACATGCCCTGCTTGTTTATCTTGCTTGTTTTCTGCCTCTTACCACTACAGTGTAAGGGCAGGGATTTTTGAGTGTCCTGTCCACTGTTATGGCCAGAGTCGTTCTAAGTATGGCAGGTGCTTAAGGGATACCTGTGGAAGGGATGAGCGAATGAATGAATGATAAGAGTGAGTGGGCAGTGGTAGGGCAGAGTGGGCTGGGGCAGTTGGGGAGCCTGGAAGCTGAGTTAAGGGCAGCTTAAAGGCCTCTATCCTGAGCAAAGAGCAGAGCCATCCTGGATTTTAATGCAGGACATCACGCTGGGGTTTTCCCCTTGGAGCAGATTGTGGGCAGCAGGCAGGCAGGAGCGGACAAGTGAGGCCATGAGAAATGCTGGCAGGGGATGCTGGTGGCCGAGACGAGGGGAGTGGGTTTCCCAAGAGCTGGGCAGGCAGTGAAACAGCAGGCTGTGGGGGGCTTTGGACGCAGCAGGAGGGCAGAAGGGAGTCAGAGGGGTCGCGGGTGTCTGGCTCGGGTAGCTGGACGAGATGAGGATCTGGGGCTTCACCCAGCTTGTGAGGCTTGTTGGGCAATGTCAGGAGTTCAAGAGCTTGAGGGGTATCTGAGCCTTTACAGGAAGCTGATGAGTGGAACAGCAGGAGCTGTTGAAGCACAGAGAGGCTGGAGGGGGCAGAGGAGAGCCCAGGGACGGCTTGGAGGTGAGCCCCTGCGTGGCCAGGTGGTGGAGGACACATTGGCAGACAAGACAGAGACCTTGTGATGAGGGAGGACAGGAGGATGGCTGCAGGGACACCCTAGGAAGGAGAGCTTCCAGGAGGACAATGTCATTGCCAGTGGCTGCTGCCCCCAGGCCAGGCAGGGTACCGAGGCAGGGTCAGAACCTGTGGCCTCTTGGGCTGCAGGGGCTGACGGCCCCGCGGGTGGGCAGGAGCCGGCTGTCCCTCACAGTCCCTCTCCGCCTCCTTCCAGTTCTTCGCCTTCCTCACCACGCTGCTGTACATCCTCCACGCCTTCAGCATCTACTACCACTGACGCTGCGGGGCCGCGCCAAGGGGACGCGCCCCTCTGAAGCCCGGATCGTGGGCCCCTCGAAGCAGCTTCCAACATTTGCCTTCTGAATGACGAGCGGAAGACCCATGGAGACGTCCGTGGGACTAACAGACCACCTGAGTCTGAGCCATGATACCACACTTGGCATATTTGTTTGGACATTTTAATTCACTATGATAAATATGAAAAAACTATTATTTTTCTTTTTCCTGGAAAAGCAATTGTCACTAGGAATTGCCTGACCCTGCTAGCTCTTCTAGAAAACCCACGTCGAAGCCCTCGCCGTTGAGAATCCCAACCCCACTGCTGCCCCATCTGTTTGGGGATTTTGCCTCGGCGGTGCGGTTCCCTATGGCAGCTTCAGGGGAACGTTCAGTCTGATTTTCTTAAACCGGAAAAGGTGCCTTGGAGGCCTTCAGATCCGGTGCAGATGCGCAGACCTTGTTCCTGTTCCTCGGTTCTGCCTCTGCCGCGGAGCGGAGGTCCACAGTCCCTGGGGAAGTGGACAGGGACACGCTACCCTGCCCACCTCCTTCCTCATCCTCCTCCCCTTTTCTCCCAAGCATTGAGGTCCAAGGAAGATCTGCATGAAACCAGCTTTCAGGGTAGATTTGTGGAGAAAATAAGTGATTGACTCTACAAAATCATTATACAGTAAGACCCGGGGTGGGTGGGGGAGGGGAGGGAAGGGTTTCTCCACCTGTCAGGTGACTCAGAGAACTGTGCGGCTGCAGCGCGCCCTGCCCGGGCTCCAGGACCCCACCCGCCAAGGACTAGAAGCTGAGTCATCCCTCAGAAAAGACCCTCAGGTGAACGAGGCCGAATGTCACATCCACAGATTCTCCTGCCACAACCACACGGGAGGGAAAAGCTGCTGCATGGCCTCAGGGGGCAGCGAAAGGACCCCTGTCCCTGGGACTGTGCTCATCTGCGCACACTCACTCCTCTTGCATCTGCTTAGGTGCTACTCAGTTCAAGGCCCTGAGGACCTGTGGTGCCGCTGGGTGGGGCCAGGGCCCTCAGCTGGGCTCGAAAGGCATTTGCACTTTGGGCCCATTCGTAAAGAAAAGGCCGGCTGTGCACACAGAAATGTCAAATCGAGGTGCTTGGTTGGTTTCAGAGTAGATGCTTTTCAGAAGAGAGCTGTGCCCTTCTGCTGAGCCAGGCGCGCAGGGCCCGACCCCGTAACTGCAGGTGCTGCTGTCGCTTGGAATGAAATAAATTATGACATGAAAGGGAATTATTTTAACTGAATCTGGGGCTTATAGTTTTGTATCAACTGCTTTCCACTCCTGGGGAGAGGGGACTCCAGGAACCACAGAAAAGAACTGGCTTCACTGTTGTTTGCCACTCACTTTCCAATTGCCTTGATGTCTTGGAAAGCCACCATTAATCTTTCATTTTGTTGCTGGCAGCTGTCTGGGGTCATCACTGTTTAATATATACCAAGTAGCCACATGCAAATAAAAGTCATTTATGCGGTGAAACATCTTGAGTCGGTCGCCTTCGTCTTGTTAGCAGCTGGAACCGGCCACCACTTCCTGGCTCCAGTCAACAGTTTCACCCAAAGCACCCTTGGAGCGTCTGACAACCCAGGTTCCCCGAGGGAGGCCGGAAGCCCAGCTCACTGGGCCTTGTTTCTAGGGCAGCAGGGAGGGGAGGTCAAGTTTGTCTCCAGGGCCTCAGGCTTGTGGTGTCATTTCTACTTCAGTAAGGACAATTTGGGTGCAAGTCCCAGAAACCGAATTTAAGCAGCGTGGGCCAAGCTGGGGTGCACCAGCTGGGTGGGAGAGGTGAAGAGCCTCAGGGGCAGCAGAGCTGACCCCGCAAGGCTCTCTGCCTCACCCCTGCCGCACTTCTCTCCACCACGCTGCAAGGCCTGCCCAGGTCCCAAAAAACGCCAGCCCCCTGTGCCCTGTGCAGACGCTGTGGACTCGGCTTCAGGCCCCCGGGCACCGCGTCTCTCAGCAGCTATTGCAGTGCTGCTATCGTCCTGCCTAGAGGGGCAGCTCTCCTCTTGGTCTCGGGGTCTCCCCCAGGCTCCCATCTTCTTGAGGGAAGACCTGAGGCTCCTGAGAGGCCCCCCAGGAGTGGCCATGGCACAGGTTTTATTGGATTTTCTCCTTTCCCTGCTCTGCACCTGCCTCCTTCCCATGGGGCTTCCCTGGATCCTGCACCCGAATCCTGTCTCAGGGTTGGCTTCCAGGGGACCCAGATCAAGACAGCCCACGACCATCTCCTAAGGACCTCACATGTGCTGGGCACTGGGGACGCAGTGCGTTGGGACACACGGTCCTGCGAGCCACACCCCAATGCCCCACTGAGCAAGCCGGTAGCAAGTTTGCTTTGCAGCTTGGTCCAGGACAGCCAGAGCCTCTGCTTTGGCCAAAAACTGGTCTGCGATCTTTAAAAGAGACGGAAAAAAACAATAAAATGGTAAAATTTGAAAAACAAACATCCTAACCTCTAGGGTTGGCCAAAGCAGGACCTGCCACCCCTCCTCCCACCCCAGAATCCATCACTGACCCTCCTGTAAGGAATCGGAAGGGAAACACATCTCAGTAAAATGTAGATGCTGTACTCAGAGAGTCACAGGCAAGCTCTGGCTTGACAGGAGGGAGCATTGCCAATCCCTTCCCCAAATCTGCAGGGCTCGGATCCCAAGTTGTGCTGCTAGACCCAGTCAGAGGGATCCAATCCTCCCTGGGACACCAGCAGGTGACAAGTCCTCTTTCCCCGAGCCTCTCTGTCCCTCCATCATCTCCAGCACTGCACACTCCTCCATCCAAGCCTGATTCCTGACACAGCACCTGCCCATCAGCTCCCACCACTTCCTGGGCTGGGGGGAGGGGTGGCGTTTCCATGGTGATGTTGGACCACCCCGGTGCAGAGGCTTCACCACCATGAACTTTCACTGATGCAGTGGACAGGGCTGCATCATGTTGGGGCTAATCTCTCTGTGCAGGTGTGGAGCGGGATTGTAAACCCCTCTATCTCTTGTGTGTGTGTGTGTGTTTTATCAAAGACAGAATGTTGGAGTTAGTGGCAAAATACCTGGGGTGAGACAAGGCCTCACCCAGATGCCTCTTCTATTCTAACTTACCTGCCAGGGGCATCCAGGAAACGGGAAACACATTGGTTTCTGCACCCACATCTAGGGTCTCCATCCCCTGGAGGGCCACTTGGCTCTGTCCCCCACCCTGCATCCAACTCACTGGTCCCACCTCCCTTTCTGAGTCCCAGGGATCCGGGTCCACCTTCATTCCACCCCACTCCTGCCACACCTATTGGGGGATCTGAGCCAGGTGGGGCATCTCTAGCCCACCTGTCCCCTCCCTGCCCCCACAGAGCTCCACCTTGCTCCCCAGTCCTCTCTGCTCTGTCTCGCTCCTGCCAGGCTCTCCCCAGCCCCGTTCCACTGTTCCAAGGTACTGCCTCCTGTGCTCACTCAGAAGCGTCACATCTTCACCACACACATGAGGAAACGGTGCAATGTCACATCCAGAAGATGGTGGTGCAACCAAGACTTAGATCAAAGCCTTTTAAATGCCAGCCCCAGTGTTTCTCCACGTTTTCTTCCTTGTGTCAGCCCTTAGCCATAAAGAGAGATTTCCAAAACATAGGAAACAAAGAAATATGGCCCAGTTTATAGAAACATGCAAAACATCATCCCAGGAATGTTAACTGTCCCTGAAGCATGCTATCGTCCCACTTTCCCTAAGACATCTGCTCCTAACACATCTGTGACACCCATTTCTGCCTTCTCCTTTGCTAACACAGTACTGCGCCTGGATGGATCCCCATGCAGTGAGGGCTCAATTCTGGCCATTGAGAGAGAAGCAGAGGTTTGCTTCCGGGGTGGCATGGGGCAGGGGGTCTGGGAAACATTTTCCTTTCCTGATAAAGGGTCAGATATAACTGGCCATCTTAGACTGACTTTCTGAGGACAGACTCTGAGCCTGGGAGCTGCGTGCATACAGGAAGTTTACTGGGGAGGGCTCTTGGGAGATGCACATGGCACGGGTAAGGGAGGCAGCATGGGGCAGAGGCTGTTCCAAGAATTGGAGAATTGGTTGGTGTAAGAAGTGAATATTGAGATCAGTAGCAGGGAGTACACAGGCTTACGTTTCAGAGGCATTCTCACTCGTAGGAGGAAGGGAGCACAGGGAACAACTCTCTCAGAGCCAATTTCACCAAATCTCCTGACCCAGCCTCGAATTTGGGCATCAGGGAGAGCAGGAAAGAGAGTGTGAAGGAGGCTGTTTCTGCTTCCTTCTGGAAAAGCAGGCTTTTCAACTCTGGAAAGATATGGCATTGCTGCAAGACTCAAATTTTTGTTCATAAATTGGAATACATGGGCATCCCTACACCATTATATCATGGTGTAGTTATGTCAAGGTGGATTATGCCACCTTGCCAAGGGGTTATGCCAAGTTTAGGTTACACCAAGGTGCAGTTACACTAGGTATCATTACAACAAGGTATAGCAATGTCAAGGTGCATTTACTGGCCGGGCGCGATGGCTCATGCCTGTAATTCTAGCACTATGGGAGGCCGAGGCGGGTGGATCATTCGAGCTCAGGAGTTCAAGACCAGCCTGAGCAAGAGCGAGATCCTATCTCTACCCCAAATAGAAAAATTACCCAGGCGTGGTGGCGCATGCCTATAGTCCCAGCTACTCAGGAGGCTGAGGCAGGAGGATTGCTTGAGCCCAGGAGTTTGAGGTTGCTGTGAGCTAGGCTGATGCCAGGGCACTATAGCCAGGGCAACAGAGTGAGACTCTGTCTCAGAGAAAAAGGTGCATTTACACAAAGGTTTAGATACGGCAAGGGAGACTTATGTCAAGATGCCATTAGGTGAAGATGTAGTTATTCCAAGATGTAGCTATGTCAAGGTGGGTGCTATGGACTGAATTGTGTCCCACCCCCAAACTTCATATGTTGAAGCCCTATCTCCCAATGCAACTGTATTTGGAGATAGGGTTTTTAGGAAATAATTAAGGGTAAATGAGGTCATAAGGATGAAGCCCTAACCCAATAGCGCTGGTCCTTATAAGAACAGGAAGAGACACAAGAGCTCGCTCTCCACCATGTGGGGACCTGGTGAGAAGGCAGACATCTGCAAGCCAAGAAGATAGCCTTCACCAGGAATCGAACTGGCCGGCGTTTTGATCTTGGACTTCCAGCCTGCAGAACTGTGAGATACAGATTTCTGTTGTTTAAGCCACCCTGCTGGTGTTATTTTGTTACGGGGGCCCTAGCTGACTAAGATGGGGCTACACCAAGGTGCAGTTGAGAGGTGCATGTAGGAGTGTGCTCCAAGTAGGTGTGGGGGCCTAGGAAGCGTTAGCATTGCTGCCCTGCATCCTGAAACCTGGCAGGAAACCACAAGGTAACATCCCTTCGGCCACGAGAGAAGACAGTCCCACTGCCATTAGGATCATGGAACTATTTTTCACTGCAGAGTTGAGTCTTTTTAAAGGAAAATAACTTGAGAGCCGGATTGAGGTGAGAACCTTGTTGAGAGAGCTCGGTTCGGTTACCCGAGTGCTCCACTGGGTGGCGCCTGGGTTCCGCTCGCAGGCTGGAGGGTGCAGTCTGCGGGCGACTTCAGGTGGCCAGAGCTGGGAGTGGCGGGGCCGACCTAGGCGTCCGGGACCTGGGGGATCTTAGCAGGGAAGGCTGCTAAGGTGTGTGGGTAGCACAGCCGCGTCAGGCACCGGGTGCCCGGGACGGAGGCGTGGGCCCTAGCTCAGCTGAGGGTTCATGGAGGGTGAGGGAAGGGACACGAGGTGAGACTCAGGATGCGCCAGGCAGGGACACCTGCTCCCCACACCCACAGCCCCTCCCCCCCCCTGCTGCTCAGCCGCTTTGGCTCAGCGGGGTGAGCAGCCAGCGCATGGCACACAAAGCCGGTGACTGCTGGGGCCACACTCACACCTAGGCCTGACTGCCCGATGGCCTGAGGGCCTGTACTGCTGAGGGCAAGGTTATATGGGCTTCCCTCCTGCCCTCCCTCCTGCCCAAGAGCAGTCACAACACCCACCGGTGGACTCCTTGGCCCGAGGCATCTGTGTTTTCAGTGCCGAAATAGGCCAGTGTTCTCCGCAGCCCCAGCTAGAAACACTTCTGTGGCCAAAACTAGCCAGCTTCATAGGCATCTCGCCTGGTACAGCTCGAGGGAAACGCTTGCCTTTTATTTCATGAGTAGAGTTGAAATAATGTTCTTGTCAACGGAAGAAAGCCAAACTCTGCAAAATAATTTTAAAGAGATTTATTCTGAGCCAAATTTGAGGACCATGACGCAGAGCCACTGCCAAGAGGCCTTGGGCAAGTGGACTCGTTGTGGCTGGGTTACAGTTTGGTTTTTATATATTTTAGAGACAGGTTACAGGTAAAGCCATCAATCAATACGTGGGAGGCATACATTGGTTTGGCCCAAAAGGGTGGGACATCTCGAAGTGGGGAGGAGGCTTACAGGTTATAGGTGGGTTTAAAGATTCTTTGGATTGTAATTGCCTAAAAACATGAAGCTTTGTCTAAAGGCTTAGAATGTTTTAACAGAAACTGTTTACCAGATATAAGCCACCATTTGTTGCGTAAATTGAGGACGTGCAGATTTGTCTTGCATACCCTTAGGCCTGTTAATGGGTTACAAAGGAAGTCTCCAAGAAGGGAGCAGGGCATGATAAGGCATGTCTGACCTCCCTCCTCCAGGCAGGCAATTTTAGTTCACACTCTAGAAACAAATTCACACTAAAATGTGAATGATGAATACAGGCCATTCCTTCCATCAGCAAATATTTATTAAGAGGCAACTGGACAGGAGTCAGAGGCTCTGTCCTGAGCAATTTGCTCACCTTCTTCCCCTTCGGGTATGAGAATTAAATAAGAAAATGCAGACCCAGGGCCTGGTACAGAGTAGAACCACCTTCTCAACCTTTTTCACATCATGGAACTTGTAGAAAATGGTATGATTTTTTTGCACATTGGGATAAACTGGGGTAGGTATACGGGGCTTAGTGAAAAAACTGTTCACATTAAATTTCTATATACATTTAATTTTAAATGTATTTAATAAAGATTTAATGAGGGGAGGTATTAAACGTAGAATTGATATGAGACATCAAAATTAAGTCTCTTTAAAAAACTTAATGAGAAACTTGGACTTGCATTTATGGACATACTTATTTTGTATCAGTTTGCTTGCTTGAACTGGTTACTATTACTGATCAAGACTTCTAGATTATTTCTTAGGTGAGTCAGCGGAACTGCCCACAAGGTCTGCTGGCAACTGGAACAGCAACTGCCCTTCCCAGCAGGCACACACATGCAAGTCTCAGAGGGATTGTGCATGAGTTCAGAAATGCTTAGGTATTAGTATCTGGGTGTTAAGGAATCTGCACATTTGGAATGGTACGCGGGTAATGTGTTAGAGATTTGGGACTCATACTCCCGCCATGTATTTGCATAATTGCTTCACCCTTGTGGTTTTAGGTTGAAATCTAAGTTCATAAACAGTGTTCGAACATTGAAGAGACTGTAAAGTTTATCATATTTCAAATTCAGCGTATTAGATACAGAGACTCATTTAAGAGATTCACTTGTCATTTAAGACATACTTTAAAAAGAAAATGAGTATATTAAATGTATAAAGGCAGTTTAGAATGTTGGAAGATGTTTCCTTAAGTAAGTTTGCAATTGAAACCAAATGTTAATCAAGGGCCCATTAAAAGTGGTTGCTGATACACTACAGGTTGCTTGCCAAAAAAAGAAAATAAGTGATTGCTGGCTAGACATGGGCAATGAACAATCCAAAAATAAAATTAAGAAAATAATTCCTGTAAGTAGCATCACAAAGAATGAAATACTTAGAAATTAAGTTAACAAAAAAGTTTTAAGACTTGTACATTGAAAACCACAAAACATCGTTGAAAGAAATTTAAAAACTCCTAAATAGATGGAAAGAAATCCATGTTTAAGACCTAATATTAAAAAGATTTATATTCTTCAAATTATGTACAGATTAATGCAATCTCTTTCAGAATTCCCTTAGCAATTTTTAGAGAAATTGACAAACTGACCCATACGGAATTCATATGGAAATGCAAAGGACCCACAATAGCCCAAACAATCTTGAAAAAGAAGGACAAGGTTAGAATTCTCACACTTCCTAATTTCAAAACTTAGTACAAAGCTACCTACAGTAATGCAACTAGCAAAAGTATAAACATATAGAGCAACGGAATAGAATTAAGGGTCCAGGAAATAACCCTTACATTCACAGTCAATTGATTTTTGATAAGAGGATAAAGACAATTCAAAGGAGAAAGAATAATCTTTTCAACAAAGGGTGCTGGGACAATTGGCCATCTACATGCAAAAGAATGAAGATGAGCCCTACTTCACACCAGCTGCAAAAATTAATTCAAAATGGATAAAAGGCTTTAAAATTAGAGTTAAAACTACTAAAGTCTTAGGAGAAAACATAGGAGTAAATGTTTGTGACTTTGGATTAGGCAATGGTTTCTTAGCTATGACACTAAAAGCACAAGTAACAAAAGAAAACAATAAACTGGACCTCATCAAAATTAAAAGCTTTTGTGCTTCAAGGACACCATCAAGAAAGTGAAATGACAACTCACAATATGGGAGAAAATATTTGCAAATCAAATATCTGATGAGGGACTTGTATTAATAATATCTATAATATATAAAGAATTCTAGGCCGGGCGTGGTGGCTCACGCCTGTAATCCTAGCTCTCTGGGAGGCGGAGACGGGCGGATTGCTCAAGGTCAGGAGTTCGAAACCAGCCTGAGCAAGAGTGAGACCTCGTCTCTACTATAAATAGAAAGAAATTAATTGGCCAACTAATATATATAGAAAAAATTAGCCGGGCATGGTGGCGCATGCCTGTAGTCCCAGCTACTCGGGAGGCTGAGGCAGGAGGATCGCTTGAGCCCAGGAGTTTGAGGTTGCTGTGAGCTAGGCTGACGCCACAGCACTCACTCTAGCCTGGGCAACAAGTGAGACTTTGTCTCAAAAAAAAAAAAAAGAATTCTGGCTCACGCCTGTAATCCTAGCACTCTGGGAGGCCGAGGCAGGCGGATTGTTCGAGGTCAGGAGTTCAAAACCAGCCTGAGTAAGAGTGAGACCCCATCTCTACTATAAATAGAAAGAAATTAACTGGCCAACTAATATATAGAAAAAACTAGCCGGGCATGGTGGCGCACACCTGTAGTCTCAGCTACTCGGGAGGCTGAGGCAGCAGGATCGCTTGAGCCCAGGAGTTTAAGGTTGCTGTGAACTAAGCTGATGCCACGGCACTCACTCTAGCCTGGGCAACAAAGCGAGACTCTGTCTCAAAAAATAAATAAATAGATAGATAAATAAATAAATCTTACAATTCAATAATAAAAAGACAAAAATCCGATTAAAAAGTAGGCGAAGGATCAGAATGGGAAAAAATATACAAATGGCCAATAACCTCATTCAAAAATGTTTTACTTCATTTACCGGGAGAAAAATGCAAATTAAAACCATAAATAGATATCACACACACTTATCAGAATGGCTAAAATTATTAAAAAATAATGACAATACCATGTGTGACAAGGATGAGAATAAACTGGATCACTTACACATTGTTGGTGAGAATGTAAAATGGCATAGCTCTCTGTAAAACTAAACATACAACTACCATGTGACCCAGCAATTGCACTCCCAGAGAAATGAAAGCTTACAGTCACACAAGAACTGGTACACACATGTTCATAGCAGCTTTATTCATAAGAGCCTCAAACTGGAAACAACCCAATGTCCTTCAACAGGTGACTGGTTAACACACTGTGGTACGTCTATACCATGGAATAATACTCAGCAACAGAAGGAATGAACTATTGATACATACAACTTGGGGGCATATCCAGAGAATTATGCTGGGTTTCAAAATCCAATCCCAAAATGTTACATCCCTCATGAGTCTATTTAAATAATATTCTTGAAGTGACAGCATTATGGAAATGGAAAATGGGCCAGGGATTAGAGAGGGGGAGGGGCAGGAGGGAAGTGGAGGTGACAATGAAGGGCAGCACAGGGTCCCTGTGGGGAAGGAAATTTTCTGCATCTTGACTATGGTGGTGAATACGTAAATCCATTCTGCACATGTGATAAAATTGTATAGAACACACGCATATGCACACGCACACACAAATGAGTACTAGTAAAACTAGCAAAAATGAGGAAACGAGCAAATCAGTAGAGTGCGTCAGTGTCAATTCCTGGCTGTGATATTGTGCTGTAGTTTTGCAAGATGTTTTTAAGGAAGGAAACCGGGCAAAGGGGATCTCTCTGTATTATTTCTTACAACTGCATTTGAGTCTACAGTGATCTCTAAATAAAAAGGGGTTTTTTTTGTTTGTTTGATTAATAAAAGTGCTTTGGAGCAGGAGGGACGAAGCCTGGGATCTGGCCGTGGTCACTATGTGACCCTGAACAGGTTGCTTTTCCTTGCTGCTTCTGTTTCACTTTTGTTTCTTTACCTGGAAGACAGAAGTTTAAATGTCCCAAAGGTATCCTTCAGTGCAGATAGCCTGGAGTCAAGGCTGTTGTGTGGGTGTGGCCTGAGGCCACAGGTGAGAGGCTGCTCCTCAGGTGTACGAGCACACAGGCCTCCAGGCATGCCCTGTCCCCTGGGGGACCTCAGTGCCAGGCACAGCACAGGACACAGGACATTAGGTACCAGAGACCAGGAATCCTGGCCTGAGGGGGTCATTTGCTGCTGCAGGCTGGGGCCAAGCTGGCCTTAGGCCAGATGCTCCCATTGTGATCCTGCACTTGTTCCCTCTGGGAGGCAGAGAACACAGCCAGGGGCAAAATGCACGTGGGCCAGGCAGGAGCTGCAGAGCAGGGCGGAGGAAGATGCTACATCTGCAGAGTGAGCCAGGCTGAGGTCCGAAAGAGCTTGGCCAACTGCATCTGCTGGGGGCCAGTGTAGAAAACTGAAACCATGTTAGGTATTTCACAGAGAGGGATTTAATTCAGGGACCTGGTTACAAATGGTTTGAAGGGCCACAGGAGCAAATAGGGGGAAGAGAGGGACACAACATAGGTCAGACGGCAGAGCCCAGCAGGGCCTGGCTGCAGTGGCACCGATGGCCTGGGAGCCACCCAAGACTCTGGAGCCCAGAACCACCTGCTGCAGCCAGTAGCCCCATCGGAAGTAGAGAGAGAGCAATGGCTCTTCCCTCCACCCACCCTCCAATAGCCTGCCAGAGCCCACCACTGGGCAAACGCAAGGAAACTAGTGGCAGGGCGCCTGGGAAATAGTGCAGAGCAGGGCAGGAAAGTTTGACAAGTTTCACTCTTCAAATGCACCGCATCCTGTTTACACATGAGTGTGAGCACAGACGCGTGCACACAGACGCCTGCGATTTATGTCATTCTGGCTGTATATGTTTTTGAAAACATTCACATTCTTATTTTATTTGACTCCAGGGAGTTACTGGTTTTTCTGGGGGAAAAGAATCTCATTATAGAAATGCTAAGTTGGAGAAATTGTAAAGATATTTTAGAAAATTCCGAGACTCCCAAAGTGAAAATAGAAATCACTTGGAATGCTCCTCTACCCCAGGAAGGCCAATGTGAACATCCTGGGGCTGGCGTGCCCTTCCTGGCTGTATTTGTAAATGTGACAGATAGCAATGGGGTCTTGGCACTTCTGTGGAGGGGAGGATGTGCCAAAGGATCACAGTGCTGAAGTTCAGGCCACGCAGGACTTTCGGAGGGGGTGTTCTGCCACTGCTATTAGTCCGTCACCCACACTGATGATGCAGGAGGGGGCCCACACTAAATGAAGGCGTGTGAAGAGTAGCTGGGAGCACTCGGCTGCATCCCTGGGCTAGGGGAACAGGGGGAGGGGCAGGGTGGGGGCCAGGACCCAGCCCCAGATTTGTAAAATCTGGGAAAATCTTAGAGCAAGAGCTGCCACCCAAGCTGCCTCTACAGCAGAGGAGGAGGGAGTGGGGGCAGGAGTGGGCAGCAGCGTCAGCCCGGTGAACTGCATCTCCAAGGGGCCTGGAAGGCCTGGACAAGCAAGGCGACCCTTCACCCAGGGGAACCCCAGGTGGACAGACAGCCAGTAGCCCAGAGCTGAGCGACAAACAGCCAGCAAGGAAGAACCCCATCAAGGAGCCATGGCACAAAAGCACCAGGCAGGAGAGAGTGCGCCTGCCCAGGGCACTACCAGGGCAGGGTAACTTCAGCAAGCACCAGCAGCCTAGGATCTCGCCCTTTTCCTTTCATTGTTCTGCCCACTGGTCCTGGGCAGAGGAAGAGGGGCGGGGCCAAAAGTATAGCTATTGAATGGAAGAAAAGCCCCCTCCCCAAGCTGCCCCTTCTACTGAAGGTTTCTAAGCCTGGGGCTGGGGGCGGAGACATTTTGGATTGGATAAAAGAGCACAGCTTTGGTTTCAGACTGAACTAGAGTTTTTCATACCCAAAAAACAAAATCATTCTTTAATAACTGAGAACTTGGCCAGACGTGGTGGCTCACTCCTATAATCCTAGCACTCTGGGAGGCCGAGGCAGGCGGATCAATTAAGGTCAGGAGTTCGAAACCAGCCTGAGCAAGAGCAAGATGGAGACCCCATCTGTACTATAAATAGAAAGAAATTAATTGACCAACTAAAATATATATATAGAAAAAATTAGCCAGGTGTGGTGGTGCATGCCTATAGTCCCAGCTACTTGGGAGGCTGAGTCAGGAGGATTATTTGAGCCCAGGAGTTTTAGGTTGCTGTGAGCTAGGCTGATGCCACGGCACTCTAGCCCAGGCAACACAGTGAGACTCTGTCTCAAATAATAATAATAATAATAATAATAACTGAGAACTTACTTAAGATGAGGTAGATTGGACCAGGTGGGGTGGCTCATGCCTGTCATTCCAGCACTCTGGGAGGCCCAGGTGAGAGGATTGCTTGAGCTCAGGAGTTCAAGACCAGCCTGGGCAACATGGTGAGACCTCCATCTCTACAAAAAATAAAAAACATTAGCCAACCATCGTACTATGCACCTGTAGTCCCACCTACTCAGGAGACTGAGGCAGGAGAATCACTTGAGCCCAGGAGTTTGAGGTTGCTGTGAGCTGTGATTGTACCATTGCACTCCAACCTGGGTGACAGAGGGAGACCTTGTCTCTAAAAATAAAAAAGAGGAAGTAGATTAATTGCATCCTTCTCTCTCCCCTAGGGCATGGCTCCTGGCTCCCAAAAAGCTCTTTCTAGTATCTACCTCTCAGCCTTTCATCTTTTGATATGAGTGAGCTTTTAGGAGGCTTGTGACCAATTTTCACCATCTCCTCCATTAAAATTCTGCATGTGGTTGCCCCAGGAGAAAAACACAACTGCGAATCTCTCTAGGAATGTGGTTTATTTGACAGGGAAGGCTATGCTAAAGGTGAGGAAAGCCAGAAGCACAGCGGATTTAGGGGTTCCCATGAGAGCTGCCCCTCCCAGCCTGGCAAAATCTTCCTTACAAGTGTGTCCTAGATCAGGGCTCCTTCGCATCATCTCCAAAGGCCCTTTCTGGGTCTCATCAACCAGCAGACACGTGGGCATTGATGTCACAGTGCTGCCATCACTCACGGAAAGATGACTGCCCTTGCAGCAGGCACTCTGGTCTCCATTCTAGAACATTTTAATTCTGGCGGTTGTGTGCCTGCCTGGTAACGTCTGCGGTGTTCCCAGATGGTCAGGTTGAGAACCAGGCTTCTCAACTGCTCGAATGTTGCACTTGACCCCTCCTCCTTCAACACTGTAGGGGTCCGGCCCCTCCCAAGACAAAAGACTCTGGGAGACAATAGACTCTGTCTCTGGTTGCCCCCACCAAACTGCATGTACTGCACATATGCCAAGCAAAATGGTTCGCTCCCTTTCATATTTATATATTTACAGAGTGTATGTGAGCATCTTCCCATGTTATTGTAGTTACACACTGTAGTTGTTTCCCCGTAACGGAGCCCAGAATCCCTGCAAGGCAGGTAAGACGAAACCCCTTCCCAGCTTGGCTTGAGGTCACCTGTTTCTGTTATGGGCCCTTAAAAAGTCATGTGGCACCTTGAAAGGGAAGCAGGCCCCCTCCCTGGCCCGTAGCCAGTGATAAGCCCTGGGTGCCCTGCTCTCCATGGGCCCTGTGTCCTGACTGCTGCCTGGCAGAGGGCTGCCAGCCCCCCAGGCCCCTGGTCACCACTCGGCTCCCAGCCTTCCCTCTGCACTGCCCACCCCGCTCCTCCCTGTCTCTGAGTCCCCACGGCCCAGGAAGGTTTAGGATGAAGTGCAGAATTATTTGAAAATTAACCAAACGCAAAATAATAATTTTTCCTGTAAATTTGAACACAGTTCACAGATTTTCTAGATTTAATTTATTAGATTTGTAGGAGTTGTTTAAATATTTGGGAAGATTTTCTATAAGTCAAATAATTAGAATACATAAAAGAAAAATAGAAACTATTACATTTATAAATACAATTTTAAAGGCTTAAGGGAATTTAATTATTAAGAAATTAAAATGCCCTTAAAACAATTGCTAAAAATGTAAGATAAAATATGTAAGATTGGAAATTTTGTTGGATGAAACTAATGCTTAGCTAAAAACTAGGTTTTGGAATTTATGAGTTTAATGAATGGGATATTAAAATTACAAAGTAACCTCTAGCTAACCTTTTTTGCACCAAAAACCGCCCTCAAGGACAGCAAAAGAAGGAGGAGGCTTCCCTCAAAGGGAGCCAGAGTGATCCTGACACCCAGAGAAGTAGAATAAAAGAATGAAAAGAGTAAACATGATTAAAACAGGGAAAGTCTGGTCAAATAAACACATATTTAGCACTAGGGGTCATAATTTTTATTTATTGCTCCAAATTTGCATTTTCTGGGCAATAATTTCAAGATGCACTGTGTATCCTATTATTTAATAAATCTACTCTTCAGTTGTTCGTAAAGTTTCCAGTGGGTGCTGTCAAGCCTCTGCTTCCGGGACACCCAGGTCCCTTCCATAGCTCTGGGAGGGAGCCCTGACAATGGATGTGTTCACAAAGTTATGTTTGGGGTAAATTTTACAAACTCTGAGTATATAAATAAATATTTTAAAATTTAAATTACTGAGACCCAGGGGCAACTTAGCTGGCTTGGGACAAAATAGAGCCCTGTGGTTAAGATCGAGGACTCTGGAGCCCAAAAGAACCAGGTTCAAATCCCAACTCTATCATTTTCTAGCTGTGTGGTTCTGGGCGAGTTATGGCATCTCTCTGTGCCTCTGTTTCCTTGTCCTTATAATGGGCACATTCCAGCATTACTTCCCTGATAGAGCTGATGTGAGCTAATCCACATCAAGACTTAGCCATGAGCCACTGCACAGAAAAACACCGCAGCACTTAGTGGTGGTGCTGCTGCTTTACAGCTAAAATCAAAGAGTGTGGGTTCTCACTTTGTGTCTTAGTCAACTCTGACTGCCAGAACAAAATACTACCAAGGACTGGCAGCTTAAACAACTGACATTTATTCCTCATGGTTCTGAAGGGTGCCAAGTCCAAGATCAAGATGACAGCAGATCTGCTTCCAGGTGAGGACTCTTTTCCTGGCTTGCAGGCAGCCACCTTCTCGCTGTGTCCCCACACGGTACAGGGAAAGGGAGCGTGGTCTCTTCTTAAAAGGGCACTAATTCCATCCTGAGAGGCCCATCCTCATGACCTCATCTAAACTTAATTACCTCCCAAAGGCCCCACCTCCAACTACCATCACTCTGGGGGTTAGGGCTTCTACATGTGCATTTGGGAGAACACAATTCAGTCCATAGTTCCTTCATAGCTGAAGGCCTTGTGGAAGGCAATCGTGGGGTGATGGTGCCGGGCAAGGCATGAAGAAGAGAGAGCAGGAGCATGTGCAGAAGGCTGCCCAGGCCACGGGAGGGCTTCCTCCATTTAGGAAATAGTCCTCTGCGAATCCACACAGCTGTACTGGGCTCCCACTGCAGGCAAAGCTGTGTCCCAAATGAACGTCTCTGATCTGTGCTCTGAGGTGCCCACTGGCCAGAGGCTTATGGAGGAGCTCGCAGGAGAAGCAGGATTAGAGGGGTGGAGAGAAGGGGCGGTCCTGGCCAGGGTTCCTGAAAGGCGCGGGGTAGGAATGCAGGCTGGGGCGGATTACACAGAGAGAGGAGAGAGGGGAAGCCCTTCCCCGATCATAACTAATGCTGGGCTGTCCTTTCTTGGCCACTCATGGGACGTGTTCAGGATAGGAACGGCTCCTATAACCCCCAACAAGCGCCTGGGGAGGTACCACTAGGATGCCTGCTTCACATGCGAGCAGCCTCCGGCTGTGGGTGTGACAGCTTCCAGGTGACACAGATGGACTTGAGCCCATGCTATGGGACCCAGCACCTCACAGGGGCCACTGAGGGCCCATTTCTCAGGCCCCTGCTGTTCTGCCCTCTAAATGCCACCCCACCCATCGCCAGGGGACCACTGGACCAGGCGTCCCAACCAATGCTGTCGGAGCCCGCCTCCCCTCCTCCCCAGTGGGTCGGTCTGCTGCAGGCTCACCAGGCTCCTGCTGGGGACAGAGGGCCAGAGGGGCCTAGGTGCCAGCAACCCAGCCCAGTGCCGGCCGGCGGGGGCCTGCCCTGTTCCAGCAGCAGAGTGATGAAAGCCCAGATTACATTCCAGGGTTTCTCCCAGGCTGTAAAACCTGGAGCCTGCTGGCAGCCCTACCCCGCATGCACCCTGCTGCCCGCATACCTCCAGCTCCAGCACTTGGGGGCTGTGAGCGCAAGAGGACTTCTGTGCCTTGGGCCCTGTAGTGGGGGATGTGAAATGATGGTGTCGTCTGTGACTTTCTCAAAGACCTTAGGCTTGACTCCGGGATGCCGTAGGTAGCTGCATCTTCTCCTTTTCCTCCAGCCAATAGCGGTAGATTTGAAAAGAGGCCGTCTGACCAGGAGGTGGGTCACACAGAGGGGCTGGTATCAATGGTCAAGGGCTGCCTTGTGCCAGGTACCAGATGCCTCCTTTTCAACTCTTGTGACCCCATTTTACAGATTAGGGGACTGAGGCTCCAGGATGAGGTAATAGCCTGGGCTGCCACCGATGCAGCTGCCCAGGCCATGACGGTGGCCAGAAAGAAAAGCAGGCTCTGTGTTCCAGGACAGACCTGGGCTCAAATCAGGCTCCCCCGCTTCTTTGCTGTGTGGGCTTAGGGAAGTCACGGAGCCTCTTTGGGCATCACTTTCTTTGTTTATGAGGATGGCTGTGAGGTTTAGAGATCATGGGCAAAAAGCCCTTGGCACTTATTACATGCTCAATAAATGGCCGTTTCTATCCTCTAATCCTCAGAAGGGCAGGTGGGGCTCAGAGGACAGAAGCACCCATCGGATGGCTGCAGCCACCAACTGGAAACCTGGCAAAGAGCTCCTCGTACCAGCAACCTTGCATGCAAGTCACAGGTTGCAAGGAAAAGCCCCCAATCCCCAGCCAGCCACAGGTGAGTTACCCTTGGCCGGCCGTGGGACAGGCTGCCATCCCTTACAGGGGCTCCCCTGTCTTCCAGGTGCAGTGGCCCCTGGGGGCCCAGGTCATGGGTACTAACTAGCATCTTGGCCTTTTGGAGATGCAGAAAAGGGACTCCCGATGCTGGCAGCCACTTGAGGTCCAAGTGGGTCCTTGACATCACTCAAGAAAGAATTCAGGAGTAAGCCAACAAAATAAAGTGAAAGCAAGATTTATTCAGAAACTATAGGAAGTTAGAAAGTCTACTCCCCAGACAGAGTTGAGGCTGGCACTCCCTGCAAGAGGGAACTGCCCCCTGGTTCCTGTTGCCTTTCTATTTAAGCAAGGGGCGAAACCAGGGGAGGAATACTCCTGGGAGGGGCGGTGTTCCTCACCACCTTGGCTCTAACCAGCTGGAACTTGCCCTGCTTCCATCCTGTT